AGTGAGGGATTAACCATTAAGCACTTAATCATCAAGGACAAAACCCCAAATACAGATTTGACCCCATATGGCTAGATGGCCACGTAAAGTTCCTTCTTTACGCTTAAGCATGACTAGAATGAGCTCAAAAAGCTCAAAAAGGGCTAAATGAAAGACTTAATGGATACATGAAGCCCTTAAACCCATAAAGTTGGCACCTTTATGCCAAAAGATCTCATGTAGACCTTAGATCTGAAAGAATAATCACTTGGGACTTCTACTTCCCCCAACAACCACCCATCCATGGCTAGAAGCATACAATCTTAACCCAATAAGAGATCTAAGCAAATCTTAAGCAAGGTTAGAACTTTATACCCGAAATGTGCATGAAATGGAGCAGAGAATCAAGATCTGAAAGCTCCTACTTGAACCACCACCTTGCACCAAGCTTCTCTTCCTTCAATGAGCTTCAAACACACCAAAGCACACCCACAATGAGCTCACAACACTCAAGGAGGCTCTAGGGTTTCATTATTAGGGTTATGAGCTATGGAGGCTGGGAATGAGGCCAACACCTGGGACTTAAGGTGTTTAAATAGGGTGCAAAACCCTAAAATTAGGGTTTCTTAATCAGCGTCCAACTCGTCGAGTTCCCTTCACCAACTCGCCGAGTTGGTCCATAAAAACGTGCCACCCAATAGCCTCCAACACGTTGAGTTCCCACCATGAACTCGCCGAGTTGGTCCCTAGGAAAAGGGAATTATTTCCATAATTAACCTTCCAGATTCCGGCTGTTACAATCCCTAGCTTATCACTAGCATGATTTTCTAACAAATCATGTATCAGCAAGATCAAAACTCAGCAAATATAACAAGTATGGGTATTTTGGGAACCACTCTCCTGTTTGGGCTTTGGCTGACTGTACACACCGCATCTTCCTGAAAAATCAAAGTTAAGTCAAGGTCTACATTCCAGATCCTAAGCCAATAATCAAACAAGAACATGACAAGAGACCGAGCCCATGTCCTTAACCCAACTCTTTTATTATAATTTATTTTTTCAAAAACATTTTGCAAAAACTCTCGGATCCTAGTTTGAGACTGGATTCACATAATTGTTCCTCCAATTCACTCAAACCAAGGTTCTGATACCAACTTGTAACGTCCCATTTTCACAACAAAAAATTTTCATTTTTATTAAGGTGAAAACTTTCCAATTTATAAATCATATATTAAGAAAACCGTTTATTCCAAATTACATTTGTTCAAAATCAGAGTTATATAGAAAATGCAGAATCCTCAATGGTGTCGATGCGTGTGTACAATCCCTCCTTTGCCTTCCCATAGACACCAATGATACCCGAAACAATAAACAATTGGATAAGCATAAAGCTTAGTGAGTTTCCCCTAAAATACCACCATATAAACATATCACATATATAATCAAACACGTCGAGTCCAGTCAACCATCGGGTTGGAATACCCCAGGCCCAGTCAACCTCGGGGTCCAGTCATCCTTGGGATGGAATACCTTACGTTGGAATGCCAATATACAACAGGTCCAATCAGCCATCGGGCTGGAATACCCAGGGTTTTTTGACCTACCGCCTCAACCCTACCGCTCTTCCCGAGCCTTCGTGCCTACATCTTACAGTCGGCCCGCACCAGGTATCTTGGCATACCGCACAAAGCATGACCGCCTTAACCCAAACCAAACACAATATGTCGACATATAAACAATCAGGATCAAGTAGGCACATAATACAGGCAAACAACAATCATACAACTCACTATTGCCTACTAATCCTCTCACAACATATACTCTCGCTACCAGCTAACCCCCATAGAATGTGTAACCATAAGTAACCAGAGGTGAGATAGCCACCCGAACAAATGGTCCTACTCTAGAGCCACAACCAAACAAGGAACATGCAAGAGAGCCTAGACCAAGAGTTCTCATGCTATCCTACATGACCACATACAGTGTAACATCCCCCTCTGACACGTATCACAATATTGTCCGCTTTGGGCTCCTGGCATGAAAACTTCCTAGGGGGTCACCCTTCCCTGGATTGCTCTCGCCCGAGAATGCTTAATTGCAGAGTTCTTGTGGGATCAGCTGCCCTCACGGTTTTAAAACGCGTTGTGACAGAGAAGGTATCCACATCCTTTTTAAGGAATGCTTAGTTCTCCTTCCCAGTCGATGTGGGATCAGGTGCAACTAACCTTCCCGCCTTCACCCCCCATTATAGGTTTCGACATCCCCGTCGAACACATCGACCTGTTCCCCAGCTCTGATACCATTTGTAACATCCCCCTCTGGCACGTATCACAATGTTGTCCGCTTTGGGCTCCCGGTGCGAAAACTTCCCACGGGGTCACCCATCCCTGGATTGCTCTCGCCTGGGCACACTTAATTGCAGAGTTCTTATGGGATCTGCTGTCCTCGCGACTTTAAAACGTGTTGTGACAAAGAAGGTATCCACACCCATTATAAGGAGATGTTTTGTTCTCCTTCCAAGCCGATGTAGGATTAGGTGCAACCCACCTTCACCTTAGCTGCACATGATCCCACATCAACTGGGACAGAGAATTAAGCATTCCTTAAAAATGGTGTGGATACCTTCTTTGTCACAACGTGTTTTAAAGCCGTGAGGGCAGCAGATCCCATAAGAACTTTGCAGTTAAGCATGCCCGGGCGAGAGCAATCCAGGGATTGGTGACCCCTGGGAAGTTTTCGTGCCGGGAGCCCAAAGCGGACAATATTGTGATACGTGCCAGAGAGGGATGTTACAAATGGTATCAGAGCTAGGGCACGGGTCGATGTGTTCGACGGGGACGTCAAACCCTATAATGGGGGGGTGAAGGTGATTGCACCTAATCCTACATCGGCTTGGAAGGAGAACGAAACATCTCCTTATAAGGGGTGTGGATACCTTCCTTGTCACAACGCGTTTTAAAGTCGTGAGGGCAACAAATCACATAAAAACTCTGCAGTTAAGCGTGTCCGGGCGAGAGCAATCCAGGGATGGGTGACCCCTGGGAATTTTTCGTGCCGGGAGCCCAAAGCGGACAATATTGTGATACGTGCCAGAGGGGGATGTTACATACAATCCCTAAGGTCACTCCATATATGATAACCAATAAACACAAATTACATACAATTATACAAATTATTACAACAAAGCAACATACTCAATACTAGGAGACAGATCTAACAGATCACTACATCATAGTAGCACACTCGATACCAGAACATAGATCTAGCAGATCACTACAACATAGTAGCATACTCAATACCAGAACATAGATCTAACAGATCACTACAACATATCACATACTCAATATCAACAATCCGAGGAATGCATGGTCGTATATACTCAGAGGTGAGATAGTCACCCGGACAAATGATCCCACTCTAGAACCACAACCAAATGAGGAACATATAAGAGAGCTTAGATCAAGAGTCCTCAGTCTATCCTATATGCCTATATACATTCCCTAAGGTATCCCTCTACTAACAGATAACCAAAACTAGTGGGTCGACATTGGTGCCTTCGACCCACGAGTATAGTGAGGCGAAAATCACCTCGATATGCACGTAGGTAACCACTGTAGCAATGAAAATCTATACCAGCTTCAACTCACTTCCAATCACCTATAGGAAGATACCTGAGTCAATACTCGATCAGAGGTTATACTCACTTGCAACATCGACTACCCCACATGAAATGGTGATTAGGGTTTCACATAAAATGACGATTGGGTTAAGAAAGAACACTTAACCCATTAAGGACTTAATCACCTAAGGGTAGGACTGATTAATGTTTAACTTAGTCATTCTCGGGTGTAATAATAATCCAATCAATAGGCCAAAATATATGCCCGATCATTTTCCAGAATAGAACTCCCCAATTCTAGGGGTTTCCACATGAAATGATAATTAGGGTTAGTGTTCCACACTAAACCCCTTAAGGTCTTAATCCATTAAGTCCAATATTGCATTAAGTTAATTGTATGTACATTATTAAGTATTATTTAAAGTTTAATTAACAACTTTAATGCGGGTCCCAACCAACTCCAAGCTAGCGTTTCTTGACATTAGGGTTTTCTAAACCCTAATTAGGGTTTCCAACCCCAAACTAATGCCACTCGGGATAAAGTTAATTGTTTAGGTAATTTAATGATTAAAAAATCGGGCACCACCCAATGCCACCTTGGACAATGGTGGTCGACGGCAGTCCGAGGCGGGAACCACCCACACACGACGGCGACGGCGGTGGTTTCACGTGATAAATCCAACAGTCCAAGCACATAAAAGTTCTTACAGCACACACACACACTAACACCAAAAAGAAAAAGAAAAAATGCCTAATACAGCCACCAAGATGGTGGCAGACGGTGACAGAAGGTGGCAACCACCACCTCACGGTGGTGGTGGTGGCGGGTTTTCTTTGATTTTCCAGCCAAGAACATCCATACAATATCCCATCTTAAAAAAAAACACACACACACACACACTATGTAACACACACAACCACCCACACACGGTGGTTGGTGGTAGCAGAAAAAGCATTAAGGGCGGTAGACACCATGGTTGGCTGCCATGGTGGTCCTCTTCGATTTCCGGCCAGCCAAGACGCGCATACGCCTCCCGACTTGCAACAGTGACACACACACATGGGGAACTAACACCCATTGAAACACACACACATAAAAACACCCACTACGCGGCTGCACGTCGATCTTGGAGGAGGACGACGATGGAGAGACGACGAGAGGAACGGTAGTATGAAGCAGCGGCAACGACAACGCCAACAGACGGCGATATTGGCGGCGTTGCGGACGACCAATTGGAGGAAGGAATGTGCGACTGAGAACAACAACAACAACAACCACAACGTCGACCTTCAATCTCGTCGACGAAGTTGTAGCGACGGTCGCTAGGTGGTGGTTTCCGACTTCAACAGTGGAGGTGGCGGCGGCTAGAAGGGAGGGGTATAAGGGTGGCGGCCGAACAAAATGGTTATATGGTTAGGGTTTGAGGATGCTCTTTTAAATGAAGGTACAAGATGAGGGTGACGGGTTTTAGGGTTTATTATTCATTTATTTTATTTATTTATTGATTTAATTTTATTTATTTTAAACGGAATGTTACACACATACAATTGAGGACAAGGATAATTAATCCATTCATAACAAGAAATCAATTTAAACAAAGCTAAATAATATAATTCCATTTAAATGATCATTCAAGATTACAACTGAACTTTGAAACATATACAAAAATTACAGACGAATGCCAATACCACCACAATTGCTAAAGAGAAGAACTGCCAACTCAACTCTCGGTCCTCGGGACTCCGGTCGTCCCATGTCGACCGTCGGGTAACTGCCAAGCTAAGGGTGTAGGGTTCATCACCTCACCGAAAATGAGAAAAGGACAACGAGCTCTGATGTAGCCTTTCTAACCTCAATGAAAACAAACTCGCTCACTTCGCCTGCAGTCTCTTCCAAAATGACCCTCCTCGCCACACCTGTGACATACAAATGATATGCGTCTCCCTCCAACTGATCCCGAACTCCGACCGATGGACTTGAACCACTTCGCTGCAGGCTGGGATTGATCTGGAGCCCGACGTTGCTCCCTCGTGTGGGTCTCTACCTCAATCTCTCGCCTCCTCGTGACAACCTAAAGCTTGGTGAGGGTATTGTATCGCTCGGTAGACACAAATGAACAAAAATCCGTCTTGAGCATGCTCAAGTACTGAGTCATTTGAGCCTGCTCCAAAGCAGCAAACACAGGAATTTGGTTGATCCGATTCGAGTGTGAGGTGAGTCTTCTCACTATACTATGTAGGATGGTAGTTGTCTTTGTGATACTTGCATTGAAGACCAGGATTTGACCCATGACATTTGTATGAAAGACCATGATTTGTCCCCTGATATTATATGGAAGACCAGGATCTGACCCCTGACACTTGTATGTAAGACCAGGATTTGGCCCTTGACATTACGAGGAAAGACCATGATTTGGCTCATGACAACGAGTGATTGTAAGACTATGATTTGGCTCATAGCCTTCACTCGAGGTTGAAATAAACCCGTTATATGTATGATATGTGGTATTTTGGGAACCCACTAAGCTTTGTGTTTACGGTTTTTATGTTAGATGTTTCAGGTACTTATAGTTCCAAAGGGAAGGGCTCGACTTGATCATGCTGCATCCCCAAAGTTTATTTCCGCATCACTGATTTATGATTTTTACTCTGATGTTTGAAACACATTATACTCTGATTGCCTTTGAACAAATGGTTGAATGGTTTGTGGTGATTTAAAAAATGAAATTTTTACTTTATATTTTTGGGACGTTACAGGAGAAGATTCAAATCGACGACGAGGAGGGTGAAAGAGGCAGAGTCGGCAGGGAGACAGGGAGAAGGGTGCATGTTACAACATGCAAGAGATAGGGAAGTAAGGGGAGTAGGACCCACTGTAACACTCCAGAAAATTCAACAAATTTAAACTTTTCAAAACAACCCATTTACTGATAAAAATGTTTACAAAAACATTGTCTCCAAAACGTGATTTAAAATCAGAGTCTCCTAAGATCCAATCCGTTGTAAAACCAAGGATGTGTACGATCACGCCTTCGCCTTGCCACGAATCATATGAAGAACCTGAAACTATAAACAAAAATGTAATCACAAGCTTAGTGAGTTCCCCCAAAGTACCAACACCCAAAAAAATAACACATATACAATAACATCATACTATGGGTCCAATCAACCATCGGGTTGGAATACCCCAGGCCCCTCAACCATCAGGTTGGAATGCCAACATACTACGGGTCCAATCAATCATCGGAATGGAATACCCCAGGCCCCTCAACCATCGGGTTGGAATGCCAACATACTATGGGTCCAATTAACCATCGGGTTGGAATACGCCGGGCCCCTCCACCATCGGGTTGGAATGCCAACATACTATGGGTCCAATCATCATCGGGATGGAATACCCTAGGCCCTCAAGCATCGGGTTGGAATGCCCCGACCTGTTGGCTTACACACAAAGCAGTGAAGCCTCAGCCACCAACCAAACATGTGCATATATTACAGATAATCATATAACAGTCTACATCCAGTCAAACAGATCTACAGATCACTAAGCATAGCAACATCCTATCTACCAGGATACCGATCTAACATATCACAACAGCACAACAACATGCATAATAGGATATCGATCCAATGGGCCGGCATTGGTGCCTTCGACCCGCAAGAACAGTGAGGAAAACTCACATCGCACTGTCGAATCATATAGATGATCCCTGGCTGCTGGCTGACAGATCCTCAAACCGCCAATATCAGGACAACACCTTATCAACAGCTTGTCCCACGAATAATCTCTGATTGCAGATCTGCTAAAATCCACGTGCTATCAAATACCACAATGACAACCCATCAACATCTGGCCCCTGACTCACACTATGAGTCCAAATTAGGGTCAAAGACCTTTTTACCCTTCCTCGAGCTTGGCCCAAAGCCGAGGCCCAAACTAGATGACTAAAGGCCCAAAATCTAAAATAAACATCTAAGGCCCAAATATGGCCCAATTTTCCAAATTGGGCCCAATTCCTTTCGTGGGCCTTTATCCACGAAAGTCCAACAAGTCACAACAGCCTAACCATAAAAATGCAGATGGCCTAACATGACCCAACACAACCAAACCCAAACCAAAGCCCAAAACGAAAAAGCCCACGTCTGCCGAGTACGCGGGGCGTACTTAGCCTGTACGCTCAGCGTATATCATGGAAGGCTTGTACGCGCAACGTACTCACCAACCGTAGCCATCTTTCCAATTTAGCACTTAATCCATTAAGACTTAGGTCCAAACTCAGATCTGACTTCTCCAAGGTGCTTAATCACATAAAGTTGCCAACTTTATGTGCATGCATGGCTAAATGGGACTCTAGAGCTCAAAGGAGCTTAATACTTGACTTAATATATGCATGGAACCAAAACTACCATAAAGTTTTCACCTTTATGCCCAAGGAACCCATGATATATCCAGATCTACAATTTCAAGCTTCAAAAACGACTTTAACTCCCACTCATCAACCAAAAGGGTCAAAATGACCAAAAAATGAACCAAGAAGAAGATCCATGAAATGAAAAGGCAAGGTTTGGACTTTATATATCCCAAGCCACCAAAAGGAGATGCAAATGCTGGATCTCAAAGCTTTCCTTCAAAGAACAAATCTTCAAGTTTCTCCTTCTTCTTCTAGATCCATAAAACCATCCATAAAATCTCACAAGAGCTTCAAGATCACCAAACATGGGCTAGGGGTCGAATTAGGGTTTCTAGAGCATGGAGGATGGCTTAGAAATGATGACAAGAGACTAACATAAAGCTTTATATAGGGTACAACACAAAAAAGGGTTTTTCCTTACTTACCGTTGTACGCCCATCATACGAGGCCTCACACTCCCGTATCACCCTTCGCAGTACGCCAAGCGTACACCACTTTACGCCAAGCATACTGACCTCCGCAACAATACGCTTTGCGTACTCCCTTGGTACGCTCCACGTACTAGGGTCCCCTCTTAAACCCTAAAACACTCTGAAGGCCATAACTTTCTCGATCTAAGTCCGTTTCCGACGAACTTTATATCCACAGAAAGGTGACGAGAAACCCTACACTTCTAGCAACCCATCATAGCCTTAAAACTCCCGAACAAAACCCAAAATTCATAAAGAAATAAGTTAACAAATTACGATTATGCCATTGGGCTCCGAAACACCATCAAACACTCGGATCACTTAAACTTTAACACCCTCATCCAAAAAAGGCCAAATCCTTTCTTCCCCAAGATCCCAAGCCTTATGATAACTGATGATCGAGCCGCAGCCGCGGATAATGAAGCGATTCAAAACCGGGTGTTACACCCACATTGATTGTTTTAATAAATATATTTTTTAAATAACAAATAAGCAATAAAAAATCCGAATATTAAATTATAAGGGTAAGATTGTCTTTTTATAATAAGGATCAAATACACAATGAAATAAAGTTTAAAAAACCGACCGGGTTAAAAAAATAATTAGAGATAAAATACATAAATTATCCCAAAGCATATAAATCATTTGTGTAATTCACTTATTTATTTATTGTAATTCACTTATTTATTTATTGTTACTTAGATTAGATTATATAGGATATAGGTTATCCCCGATTTTTTTTTGAAACGGCAAACTAACTAATATATTCCTAAATAACCACCTATGTCTCCACCGAGACTTGAAGCCCGATTAAAAAGCAAAGTAACCGCGTGAAAATTTTGTGTGGCTTTTGTGTGTTCCTAAGCGACGCACAATACTGTTCATCTTTTTCTTGTTCTTTTGTTTAAGCCCAACTCCCCACCCTTCATTTGCTTCCGCAACAAAAACAACACGGCACCACCGGCCACCGCACCACCACCAGCAAGCCCTCCCATCATACTCAAACATCCGCAGGTACAACTAACTATTCACTCAAGATTATATTCTACCTTTATGTGTTTCTTGCAGCTTTTCGCATACTTCAGCTCCCTAAAATTTATTCTCAAACTGTCGATTAGGTTTTCCAATAATCTAATCCAAAGGAGCTGACTATTAATTGAAGTCTCTTACCCTAATCATAGTGGCTTCCTTTGAGTTAGTAATACCATTAAATCAACTACAAGTGTACAGCATACTGTGGTTGGCATTATTATAGAAATAGAATCGTGCTATGGTATAACTTAAGCAACTCGTCTGATACATGAAAGTTATCGATAAATGTGAGATTTCATATTGGGATTGGCGTTTGATGTAACTGAAGGAACTTTGACAATCATGATCCTCATAGGTTTGACTTATCCACGTGGCACCATTCCATCTATGTTTGTATGAGACTTTGTGATAACTGATATGTGATACACACTTTGACTCGTTGATTCATGTTAAGGCTAGCCTGTTTTATCAGCCTGTTATTTTGTCTTTTAAAGAAATGATCCATGCTTTGTCTTGTGTGGATCACTGAATGGTGTTTGAGTAGCTAAATCTATTCTGCCTGGAGTAGTTAGGCTAGATTATGCAGCTGATTAGGCTTCATTTTTCTGTTAATCATGCAGGAATGCTGGGAAGTTCTTTACCTTCTGCCATATTGACCATTGACTCTGGAAAAGTTTTTGTTTTTTCTGTAAGTATTCATTCTCTTGCTAGGTTGCAATTAGATGCTCTACTACACTTCCTAATCTGGCTTTCTTGATATTAAATCTTGGGAGTCTTATAGAAAATGAAAGACTAATATTAAGTACGAAGAACAAAAGGATTTTTGTAGCCAAGTTTGCATTTTTATTGAACCTATTAAGGGTGTTGATTATTAGAAATGGAAATTTCAACTTATTAATCAACAAATACTTTTGTGCATCCTTCTTGCCTCAGATGAACATTTCTCCATTTTTAATTTTATCTCTTTTCCTAATTACTAAAAAGTAAGTATTACTCCTAAATCAGTCTTCTCAAAAGTTTGCCATTACTTTTTGTAATTAGCAAATCATCCATATATAATGAAACAATAATAAATTTGATTTTACTTTTATCACCTTTAATGTAGAGGAGACTTTTTTTTAAACCTTATTGCATCATATGCTCATCAGGCTGTTGACTTTTTTTTGTATGACTGTTTGGTCCACTATGGTTAGTGGTGGTGATCTTAGGCCCATTATTTCTTCTATGGCCCAAGATTATCATGCTTTTTTTCGAGCTTTAATAATTCACATGGTTTACTTTTTAGTCTTCTGTATAGGTATTATTCTGAAAAACAGTTTTCCTCCTCCTATTCTCCACTTGCTTCATAGTTTATACTTTATACCTAGGTAGATTTTGAAAAGACCTAATTACAGTTTTGGTCCCTTGGAATATCAATCTCTTACAAATGGTCCAAAAAAGAATCTTTTTGCTTTATTCATTTCTATTTTCTAGTGCTTGTTTCCCAATTTTCTTTCATATATGAAAGCTTGAATCTAAGTCTAAACCCTAAAGGCCTAAATTATCACTACTTTTTTTTTTCAGCTGGATCTTGAATCATACTCATCAAATGCAAAATTTTCACACAGTTATCAACCTAGCAACAATAAAAAACTTTTAACAACTAAATTGACCACATCCACAAAATGGAAAATACAATCAACTCGAAGAACTCCAGAGATAATTTTAACTGAGGAAGATACAAAGACATGGGAAGCTTGTAGACAATCTCTTTCACAATTCAAATTTACAGTAGAAGAGGAGGATAAAATATTAGGAAAAGCATTCGGGTTTCTTCATTCCCCTTATTGGGGTGAAGAACGTGAAAAAGTTGTACCAAAAACCGAAGAAATTAATGCCATTTTGGATTATTTAAAGGGTTTAGGTCTTTTAGACGATGATATCTCAAAAATACTCAAGAAATTTCCCGAGGTTGTTGGGTGTAGCCTTGAAAATGAGGTGAAGGTGAATATTCAAGTTCTTGAAAAACTATGGGGAATAAAAGGAAAATCATTAAAGAATTTGCTTCTTCGTAATCCAAAAGTATTGGGTTATATTGTGGATTGTAAAGGAGATTGTATGGCACTCTGCACTCGGTGTTGGGTTCGGTTTTAATTTCAAGATTTTTGTAATTTAAGTGTATACCTTTTATTTGTAACTTGTAATTAATATAGTTTGTTCATTGAACTTATATAGTGAAAATACAAAATAATATAAAATATTTGTACACATTATTTAGCGCCCATTTGTTAGACAGACAGATTGTACTGTGTTTGATGTGTGTGTTTGATGTGTATTGGACTGAAACTGTCAATTGGACAATCCAAAAAGGTAAGGATAGAGACACGTTTTCGTGCTCTTTTGTGCAGGGGCGGACGCAAGATTTTACAGTAGGGGTTGCACAGGAGAGTTAGGGGTTTGCACGGTAGTAGAAAAAATAAAATTTTCAAAAATTTTCGAAAAATTTTCCACTGCGGCCGGAAAACTTAGGGGTTGCCGGTGCCACCGTGGACCACCCCTGCTTTTGTGATTTTAGGGTTGAATGCAAAGTGAAATGTTGTAATATGAAGAAATGAAAGTTTGATGTTATTATAAACAAATTAATGAAAGCATGTTGTTATTTTTTTCATTTAACATTTGTTATAATCGACACTCGACACGTTTGAGTTATTGCGTTTTGCGTATATCTTTTTTTTATCGATATATGTTTAACGTGTAGCGGAAAAGTTTATTTGGTGTATCTTTGATGTGTGTGGTGATCTTGAAGGTTGGCAATTGTATTTTGGATTTTGTTGGGATATTTCTAAATGATAGTAGGTCCTCAAGGATACCATTATACAAGTAGGGAACGTAAGTGTCCCAAGTTTTTGCCATTTTAGATGTTTGATAAGACACTACACTTTTTCTCTTTAGAGTAAATTACACGAATGGTCCCTATGGTATGGGGTAATTTGCGCGTTTGGTCCCTTATTTTTTTAACTCGGGAGGTCCCTATTATTTGTTTTAGTTATGCACTTGGTACATACTGTTTGTTTTTGTTACGCGTTTGGTCCTTGTCTTACCTAAAAAGACTATTATTTAAATAGGGAAAAATTATGGGGTGGGTAAGGTAAGGTGAGGGGGGTGGGGTGGGGTTAGGGGTGTGTTTATTTAAATAAATTAAAAAATCAAGGGCAAAATAGTCTTTTTAGGTAAGACAGGGACCAAGTGCGTAACAAAAACAAACAATAGGGACCTTCCGAGTTAAAAAAATAAGTTAGGGACCAAACGCGCAAATTATCCTAAACCATAAGAACCATTCGTGTAATTTACTCTTCTCTTTATCATATGCTACTCTTAATATAACATTATATTAGTGGATTATCTATTATTAAAAATCAATTTGGTAACATATTATTATATCGTTACCATAATCAAATGGTTTAGTGATGATCCGTTGAGATTAAACACTGCTAAATAGAGCGGTTTCAAGTTAGAATATGAAAAGTACAAAAATAAAGTAAAATTGGAACATGAAGAACATGAGGGGAAGATGCACCGAACGAATGACGCATAGTGTCTAGTAGTGCAATATAACAAAGTGTAGTACAATGAGTGATACATCATGTAGTATTAGTGGAAAACATAACGACAAAAACAACTAAAAGCATCAAGAATCCATAATCTAAATAACTTTTTCTTTTCTTATGTTAGTTTTAACTAATTTTATTTGATAAAACCTACCTTCATAAATCTTTTTCAAAATAAATATATGTTTTCTTTTAACAGTTGGCAATGATTTTCATTTTTTTTGAACAACTGAAATTTCCAAGTATTTAAAGTTAGAAAAATGCTAACAAATAATTACAAAGGAATTGTCAAAATTGGGTTTAATAACTAGGCTTCCCTATTAATACTTATTTTTCTATTATAATACACAAATTAATTATAAGAACAGTCAATAAAACTATCAATTAACGAACTCCTTCGAACATATGAAACCATTTGTTTAGATGTTTTATAAACAATTGCTTTAATTTGTGTATTTTAAATGTCAAAAAGTTTAAAAGCAAACAATAGTTGTCGTCAATGTTTAAACAAATAGAAGGATTGATAATTATATTTGTAGTTTTTCAACTTTTCCTTTTTCTTTCTCTCAAATTTTGACTTTTGAAAAAACCAAATTGAAATCGATCAAACCAAATTGTAAATCAAATGCTTCATATCAAAATTAATCCAATTTAAAATATTTGGATTTGTATTTTGAAAACCAAAATCAAACTAACACCAGTAATCAAAACAATATATTTTTAAATGGAACAAATTACTTTCACAGTAAACCGTGTAAAAAAAGATCAAATGTGTACACATGTTATAGTTTTTACCATATCAAGTCATTAAACCATTAGAGAAATAGTTAGACAAGATGTTGGCGAGCAAATTGCGCTTTTTGAACATCTAAGATGATTTGAATGATAATCATATATATAAAAAAATTATCAAATGCGCAAACGAAGCATAATTGCTTACCCTATAAAGTTATCAGACTATAAAAATGTAAGCGATTAAAATCTATTTGTCTTTATTTGCTTGTGTATGAGAGTAAAGATAATTCCAGATGCCGAAAAAACACATACCACTTATTTGGAGATTACTAATCGATATGAATAACAACACCCTAAAAATAAGTCTATCATAACTATTATTTTAACTGTATAGTTATTTGTTAAAATGTCAAGTGTTTTTAAATAATTAAAACAGTTCTTTAAAAAAATTTCTACATTTTTCATAAACACATAAGTGTGGTAAAACTTATACATCCATCTACTATTCGTTTTCCTATATATGTAGTACAACCAAACAACATTTGCTTATTAAAATTTAAAATCATGATGGTGGTGGTGGTGGACTACAATACAAGTACCAAACTCTACTCCAACTCCCACCCTCCAAAATAGTTGACGTGATGGGCATTGAAACTCTGTTGACCATAGACTTTAAAATTCTATTTTCTTTGGATTATAAAAGGGTATATTATAGGATGATTTATATAAACTTCCAATGTAGTTGTTAAGTCTAACAAAATAAAGAAACTAATGGCTGGCGGCAGCAGCCTAAAAATGAACGGCTTGAATAACATAATCAAAAATATATTCTTTTAATAGAGTTCAAAACAGACAAAGGTATTTTTGACAAAATTTAAAGTTATAGTTTTTATTTGTTTAGAACTTTCTGTCAAAATTAGATTGATGTTTTTGAAAAATGTAAAATAACATAACCATAAACGCTAAAAACCGAAAACTACTAAAAATTAAATATTGTCAGAAACTAACTAGGGTCGAACGGTATGCTCATCACGAGAGCTATTTGTGGCCAGGTAACATGTGCACCACAGCCATGCACACCATCCCCATCAACACAATCATTGTTCTTGTGGTGTTTACCACAGAATGCAACGGGCGAATGACATTGAAGAGGGTAGATTTTCAAGGCTAGAACATTGAACATTTTTCCTATAAATAACCCCAATTTACTAATTTTCACATTATTTTTTTTTCTTTCTCTACTACACAAACCACAATATATTCATATACAATTTCTTACTCCCTACTATATGGAACAACTCCTAAAACCATCAAACTTTCAAACCTAACAACCTTAGGTGGAAAATGAAGAAACCGTTTTAGCCTATGTTTGGATTCCGGTGTCTGAAAACCCCTTCAAACGCAGAGAAACATTGGTGACAACCTATTCTAAGCTACTTCCACCCGATGGAATGAGTAAATTTCTTTATCAACATCTTGACGAGCGTTCGTCAAAATGATGTGATATAAGGTTAAAAATAATCGAATTCAACGGCGCTTAGAACGACCTCAAAAACACACATCCAAATAAAAGTAACGGATCTGATGTCATCGATGCGATGCTAGAACAATACCAAAAATCCAACGTAACCATAAACATTTTTCGTATATCAATGTTTGGTATGAGTTGTGTAATTGTCCGAAATTATTTCCGTGGTGACATGCATATGCTGAAGATGAAAATTAAATTTTGTAGTAATTTTCCTTATGTTTAAATTAATGTAACATTTTTTCCTAATATGTAATTTTCCTTTTTATTAAAAATAAATGGAATATGTTAATTTTAAATAAAAAAATCTAGTATTTTATTCTTTAAATTATTTGTTTTTTAGTGAAAATTATGATGTAGTGTGATGGACAAAGTAAATGTAGCTTGGATGTGTGTGACGAGGGCTATGATCTAATAGTTAGAAACTGTCAAATGGTCTTCAAAAATAACTTTTCATGTAAGTTTTATCTAACTAGAAATATACCTCACCCACATGGCCACATTCACATGAAAAGGTCTTATCTGACAGACTATTTGATAGTTAGAACTTTTATTTTTGATGGCATTGCATAGAACTAATCTATAAAAATAGATATAAGATTTTATAATATATAAAATAACATAAAACCTCTAATCTATAAAAATAGATATACGCTTTTATAATATATAAAATAACATAAAACCTAAAAATTATAAAACGAAAAACACTAAAAAGTTAAACATCGTTTTATGTTAAAATCATCTGTACTTATTTGCTTTGAAAACATTATGATTTATTGATGTTCTGTCGATCCTAAAAGCAATCGAGAGGACATGCACAAATAACAAATACTAACATTTAACAATTAATCATATTGTTTAAACATTGTGAGGTGTCCTTGTGTTGTGGTAGGAGTGGCAACTCGCAAGTTGGCAGCCCTGTCCCACATGGCTTATCGTCAAATTGCTACCCTTTTTGTGACCCAATAATACAAAATATCACATGCATTTTACAACATCACATGCCATTTAAATATTCCTCTTAAATATTGATTTAAACGTATCATGTAAAAAGATCTTGTTCTTGTTTATTAAACACCTAATAAATTTATTTATTAACGATCACTATAATATAATTTAAGATTCATAGCTTCACTAAATCATTCGTACTTAAACACAATGCATAGAAGATGACTCACAACTTTACGGATTTTTGCAACTTTTGAAACGTTTGAACTTTTGGAACGGATAAACCAAATAAAACCATTTTATTTGATAAGATTGGTTCGCAGTCTAATAAAAAACACTAAACTTAAAAGTATGGGTTAATTGTATAGTCCCATCATTGCTATTTCCGCTTTGTATTGTGTTTCTTATCTATCACTTAATTTGTTGGGCCTTTTATAAAATATCTGATATGTTTCAAAAAGAATGTATAATATAAGATATGGACACCTTTGGCTTTGTCAACCCTTAAACCTGAAAGCATTGCAACGAACCTCTGAAATCTTTCATTCGATTAAGGTATATATGTCATGGTGTTTCTGTAAAACTCTTCACTTTAATTTAGTTACTATTTTTCACATTACTTACCTTGTTCGTGTATAATAGGATAGATGGGTTGATCAGTGTTGATGTTTAGTACCCTTGAAGTATGACGACCCCGTAGAAATAACGTAGAATATCGAAAATGATATATTGCTTTTTATTCCGAAAAACAATGTTAACCTTTTAAAATATATATCTTTTATTTTTAAAGATATATGTATATATATGATTTTACCTTTGGAGAAAAAAGAAGGTTAAATTCACAAGATGAACACGTGAACCCCTGTTACTCCACATGCAACACTTAACTCCATTGATTATTGGCCTAAAAAACTGCACATTCTCTCTCTCTCTCTCAACCCCCCCTCCCTCCCGGTGGATTTGTAGGTGGAATAAAGTCATACGATTTTAAGTGGACATACAAAATTCGAATCAAAATTTCAAAATTTGAATACGAAAATATATTGATTAGTATTAGGAATAAAATTATTACGAAACAATCTCATTTAGACATGGTGGTTATTTTACAAATTCATTAAAAAGTTGTTAAATTAAATAATATGCCATTTTGATGGTCATTTATGTGATTATTCCTTTAGTTCAATTCTTATGTTTACTTAAAACAAACAATTATTGTAAAATTCGTATGATTGCTAAAAGATATCAATTGGATGAAAACAATTTTTATTCAAATATATACATGCAAAGGATAAAAATACAAGAACATTTTTTTATTAAACTTAAAGACATAAACCTTAATCAAATCGTTGGCTTATTTTACCGACGGTTAATTTGGTCTGTATCAGTCGTTACAAATAACATGTAGACGATCGCCGCCGGAAAACAATAGATTCAGAAACAGCACACGTTCTTTTACATGAAGAATACATACTCACCACAAATCCAGATCGGTCAACGGATGGAAGCTTTGAGCTCTTTCTTAAACCATTGACCTCGAATTCTTTATCTTTGGAACACTCGATGAAGGCTGCAAAAAACGGGTCTTTTCTGAAATTCTGACTGCTGCTACTCTTCTTCATCGTCGGCGACTGATGGGTGGCGTGACTGGATGGTGGCAGGGGGAGGAGATGCTGAGTTAAATTGCTTTTCTTGTATGTGTTCTTTTTCGGGATTCCGGGAAATTGCTCCCAAGAAAAGGGGATACCAAGATATCGAATTGGAGTGGATGGGATAGGAGTTGTGACAGAAGAATCATCGGATATCGAGTCTGAGAACGTGAAAGATTTGCTCCGGCGAGAGTGTCGCTGGATATCCGTTGAGGCCATTAATTCTTCTTTGGTTGAACTAGAGACAAAAGCTCCCAACTTTTGTGTTTCTTCTCGTGTTATATATATAGGTTCATTTGAGACCATGTTAATTTTGTGAGACCGTGAGACCAAATCTAAAAATAATTTTAAAATGCAAAATAAAATGAAAAATCTAAAAATTCTTTTTTTAATTATTATTTTCGGAACTTTGTTTACCTAAAAAAAATAAAAAAATAAAAAAAAATTACCGTTTTTTTTTAAAATACGTGAAATATTCTAATAGAATATTACACTGTACACATTCTAATGTGATTTTTAGAATGTTAGAATATTCTACTAGATTTGTCAGATATGTAGAATATTCTAATATTCTATTAGAATATGTAAAAAAATGTATTTTATTTATTTATTTTGGTATTTTTTTTATTTTTTTTGGAAAATATATATTTCGAAAATAATATTGGAAAAAAAATTCGAAAATTTTCAATTATTTTGCATTTTAAAAATGTTTTTGTTTTATCTGCTAAATGAGTGGCTAGGATTGCGTCACACGGTCTCACAAAATTAAGTCGTCTCACATGAACCTAACCCTATATATATATATATATATATAATATATATATATATATATATATATATATATATCACAAAATTAGGTCGTCTCACATGAACCTAACCCTATATATATATATATATATATATATATATATATATATATATATATATATATATATATATATATATATAGGAACATTTGAGAATTCATATTTTCCCGAGAACCCAAGAACTAAAAGTCATTCGTTAGATCAAAAAAAAAGGATGGTCAAGATGCTTTGTGACATTTTTGTAAATAAATGAGAAACTAATGAACGGGGGTACTGAAACAAAATTGAATTGGGGGTATTTTAGGGATATAGATATTGACCCTGTTTAGAGAACGTCAATCCAGACGCCTTGTTCCAAGTTTTGAAGATGATACCTTCTGGTGGATGATTTCTCTGTAAACCCTTACATGACTGCCATGGAGTTCGTCAATCTCCCCTAGAAACCACATCACCGCCATCACCTCCTGTAAGACCTACACCATCGCCATCGTCTCCTATAAATTGACGATCTCTTCTCCTTCCTCCCTACATCGGTCTACTACTCTTCCAGTCAAAGATCTTCCACATCAGCCTCTTTCCCTCTCCATCGACCATCAACAATTCATCATTAATCACACGGTGAAGGTAATTTTCTTCTGATCATTGAATTTTCTAGTTTTTGTTCGGTTCCTAAGATCCAAAAATGACAGCTAGGGCATATATCAGGTTTCAAAGTTTTGAAATCTCTACCTTGCTTTCTGCATATATCACGTTTCAATTGATCGATTTCGTTCCATGGATCAATTGATCTAATCCATGCCTGAGTCTCCTTTATGGCGACGCACCTGCACCTCACTCACTCTCACTTCTTCCTCCCTTCTTACAAACTCCTCTTAACCGCCGCTCCAGAACCTCGCCTTTGTCAATTCGGCGTCCGTCACCGCCGCTGCCTCCTCGTCACAGATTGTGCTTCTTCACCGAATGAAACAAGGTTTGCAATTTGTTGCTTCATTTTCAATTGCATGTGTCTCTGTATGTATTTGTTCGTGTTGATTTTTTTTACCTAATTCGAGGTTCGTTAAACGAATTTTGTGCTTTAGAGTTGCCAGTAGGAAACCGGCGAGGACCAATGCAGATCTCTGCAACGATTTACGGGAATTTATGTCTGATGCTGGGTTTCCTGACGGACATGTTCCTTCTTTGAAGGAGCTTTCGCACCATGACAAGTTTAGTTTCTGTAGCATTATATTACTCTTCTTTATTTCCAATTCCTTGTTCTGCACTTGAATACATGTCTGCTGATATGTATGCTTTACTTATCATGGAAAACATTCCTGATACTAGAAATTGCTTGCATCCTTAGTAACAAATGGTTAGTAGGAATCAGTCAAAAAAAATTAGTAGAGCTGTGACATGATATGAGGGTGTTTATAAATTTTTCTGTAAGGAAAATCACTTCTTACCTGGGTAATCATGGAGATTCAATGGGAATTTATCATATTGGCTTAAGAAATCTGTATATCATTTGATTTCAGGTCTATCCTCACACTGTATTAAAACATACATTTCATTAGAAAGAAAATTATATGCTTTATGGAAATGGCTTCTACTTGTTGAGAATTTTTTTGAATTATTCTTTTGTTCTTACATTACTATATAGGCAAGATCTTGCGAACCTTGTGAGAAGAAGAGGATACAAACTTATTAAAGAGCTTCTTGCAGCCTCACAAGAGGTCAAAGTCAATGATTTTAATGTAGATGAGAGCTTGACTGATAATCAGGAAAATACCAATACTGAAGAAGATGAATCAACATGTGTTTTTTTTTCTTTTCACTTTTTACAGCATGGAATAAAGTTAAACTCAAAACTCTTCTTATTAAATCATTTGTATTAAAAAGATTTAGATGAGAATGGAACAAAGTTGGCTGAAGTTGTGTTGTTGTCGAATGAAGAGACTTCCACTAAACCATGAATCTACTAATGAAATGAAGGTATGATTTTTTTTATCTGTTTTACGTTTTTGCTAACAAACATGAATCTACAAATGTTGCTAAAATTCAGAATTCAGCTTCAGGGTTCAAAAGATGGGCAATAAAATGTCCATTTATCAGATATTGTGATTTACATGTGCATCACTTGTGATTCACATGTGAATCACTTGTGACACATGTGAATCATTTGTGATTTACATGTGAATCACATGTAAATCATCTTAATTTTTTTTCTAACCATATAGTTTATTTTAATTGTTTCTATATTGAGCTTCATGGATCACTTGTGATTTACATGTGAATCACTTGTGACACATGTGAATCATTTGTGATTTACATGTGAATCACATGTAATTCACGTGTAAATCATCTTAATTATTTATTTTTTCTAACCATATAGTTTATTTTAATTTGTTTCATTTTAGAAATATATCACAAGTGAATCACATATGAATTACATGTGATTTACATGTAAATCACAAATTAATCATATGTAATTCACAAGTAAACACAAGTGATTCACATATGAATTACATGTGATTCACATGTAAATCAAATGTAATTCACATGTAAATCACAAGTGAATCACATATGAGTTATTGGTTATTCATATGTAATTTACATATAAATCATATGTAATTCACATATGAATTACATGTGATTCATATGTAAATCACAAGTAAATCACATACGAATTACCAAATGTAACTCACAAGTAAATTTCATATGAATTACATGTGATTCACATACAAATCACAAGTGAATCACATATGAATTGCGTCTATATACACACATGTGTTTTTGTGAGTTTTTATTGCATTAATCAATTTTTTTTTATTTTTCTTGTAGATTTGGAAGAATTTGTGGAAAATATTGACGAGGTGAAAAATAATAAAGTAAAGAAAATATGGAAATCTTGACACGAAAACATGAAAATGCTTTAAAATTTTGTAGTATTTTTTGTTTTTTATATTTTATTTTGTATCGAATAAAATACTTTTATTATTGTGTTTATAGATTATTAAATAAAAATGAATTTTTTATATGATTACTTACGAATATTATAGTATAAGAAAGATGCATATATGTACTTGAAAAATATGTATATATGCACCTAAAACGTTAATTTTTTTTTTTAAAAAAAATTAGGTTTTTTTTTTTAAAATGTTCTAGTTTTTTTTTAAATTTATTGATTTTAAAAAATTTACTTTTTTAGAAAAATGCAGTTTTTTTTTTTTAAAAAATGCAATTTTTTTTTGATAAAATTGCAGTTTCTTTTAAAAAAATGCAGTTTTTTTTTTGAAAAAAATGCAGTTTTTTTGAAAAAAATAATTGCAAATTTTTAAAAAAAATATTATTTTTCAATTAAAAAATGAAAAAATATCCATTTTTTTATATAAATTTTGAAATTTGATTTATTATGTTAATTTTTAGAACTTTTTATTAATATTTCCAATAACAAAAAAAATTAAACATTAAATGAGATCGGTAAGATGACGATCATGTCCTTAATGAATTAGTTTTGATCCAACGCTCCACTTTTAATTCTCGGGTTCTCGGGAAACTATGAGTTTTCAACCGATCTCAAACCCTATATATATATATATATATATATATATATATATATATATATATAATATATATATATATATATATATATATATATATATATATATATATAGAGAGAGAGAGAGAGAGAGAGAGATGATCATTTGAAACCGAGTAAATTACACGAATCGTCCCTCGTCCAGGTGTCAAAATGCACGTTTAGTCCTTATTTTCAAAAATTAACCCGGACCGTCCCTCGTTTGGTTAAAAGTTGTGTGTTTCATCCCACCAGACATAAAAAGACAATTTTGCCCTTATTTATTTATTTTATGATTTATTTTCCATTTAATTGTTATTTATTAATTATTTATTATAAAAACAATTATTTATTTCCTTTAATAAAAGAAAGACTCAAAACCCTTAAACGGATCATCTCCGTCCCCCCATTTCTTCTTCAGTGCGTCATCTTCACTGCATACCCTCACCGGACCAGGTCACAAGTCCATTGGAGAAAGGGAGATTCAAATCAGAGAACCAGATTAAACACAGATCGTCTCCACCAATGGCCATCCTCTACGTGTACAACCTCTTTCCCACCATGTATAACCTCCTCCTAAAACCACCAGTCGAATTCTAACTGGGGTGGCGATAGACGACATGAGAAGAGATTATTGGTGGTGGTGATGCATTATCTGAAACCCCCAAAGTGAAATCCTTCATGAACCCCCAAATTTCTCGATTTGAGACCACACATCTCCTTCCGATTTCTCAAAACCCTAGCGCACGGGTGGCGATGGCGACATTCTATTTGCTCTCTGTCTCTGTCTCTCTCTCTCTCTCTCGCATTAACAAACACACACAAGGTGTGTTTTTGTTTTGTGTTTCACTGATCAAGAAGAAGAATGAGGAAACAGATGGCGATAAAGGGTCAAGGGTTTTAGGAAAAAATCAAGTGAGATGAGAGGGAAAGACACCAATGTGTATATTTTAGGTTTTCAAAAGGATCGACCACCATTTTTGATTTCTAGAACGATTTTGAGATTTTTGAAACAATTTTCAGTTTCTAGAATCATTTGGGTTACAATTTTCAGATTATTGATTTTTGATTTTTGATTTTTGGAGAAGAGCTTATCGGGAGAGGACGATAAGGAGTGGGTGTGCACATTTTCGGTGGTGCACCATTTTCCGGTGGTGGTGCCGGTGGTTAAGTATTCAGCATAAAAGGAAAAAAAATATTTTTGGTTTAAAGTTGGATGGACCACAATTTTAATTAAAATATTTTTCAATATCTAAAAATCATGAGAAATGTTAAAAATAAATAAAAAATAAAATTGATAAGGGCATTATAGTCATTTCATGTCTCGTGAGGTATTAGGCATGTAAATTTAAACTAAGGAGGGATGAAGAATGCAACTTTTAACTAAACGAGGAACGGTCCGAGTTAATTTTTAAAAATAGGGAATTGACGTGCATTTTGGCACCTAAACGAGAGACGATTTGTGTAATTTACTCTTTGAGAACCTATAGTTTCCTGATAACCCGAGAACTAAAAGTGGAACGTTAGATCAAAACTTTTAATTGTAGATCAAACATGACATATTTGTAATTATTAACAATTTCATTGGTAACATTGACTTTTTACAATGAATTACAAGGGTAGTTAAGGAATAAAAATTAAATACCTAATAATTAATCAAAATTAATTTTGAAATTACAACTCTCTCTCTCTCTCTCTCTCTCTCTCACCGTCTTTCTCTCTCCCTCATGTTCATCTTTATCCCAGATTTAGAGATGAAAACAGATAAATCAAAGGTTTACAATACCTTTCAGTCGATCTCTCCTTAAAGCACCAATTATCTATCTCACACACATCTTCATCTCGTCTCATTCTTATTGTCGTCTTCAGTCGCCGAAGTGTATCACCTCCACCTTTGCTCCTCCACACTCCTGTGAGTCACCAATTGTCTCGTTGCCGTTGATTTTCCCTAAAACGCTAGTTATATCTCTGATTCCTTATCTACCACCGTATATCTGGAATAAAAGTGGTTGTCTTCAATCGCACCGTCATTTTCACCATCGTCTTCAATCGTCGGACCGCATCTGCTCTTCCACAATTCTGAATCGTTGATTTGACCTAAAACATTGTCGATGTCTCTCATTCCTTATCGATTGCAGTTGGTTTGGAATAGAAGTGGCAAAATTATCTAATCAAAGTTGCTTCGTGAATACACTCAACTTCGATCATCAGGTATCATTAATCCATACCTGCTTGTATTATTCAGTTTTTAATTAGGTATGAAATCGATTAATCTGTAGAATTATCTCTCTTCTTTCATCTAAATTGATACTCTTCATATTTGATTGATTTAACTAAGGTTTCTGTAACAATGTGTGGATTTAACTAAGTTTTCTATAACAATGTGTAGCTAAAATTCTTTGAATTCTGATTCATTTTCATGCGTTGTTTGTTTTGGTTCAAGTTATGAGGAAATAACTTGATTTCGATGAAGAATTCCTGTTGGAATAGGATGAATGTAAGGAAGTTGTGACTTTTAAATTTGTGTTTTCCTAATGAGCTATGCATATGCACTTGTATGGTTACTGTTGATAACTTCACATATAGAAAAACCACTCTGATTAAGGTCTATGGATTTGAACTTTTCATTTCTCCAACCTTTCATTGATGGATTGAAAAAACTAACTGATCGATGGTTTTGTAAAATTTGTGCTTATTCTGATTGTATAGT